TTTTAGTAAACTGACTTTTTCCTTCATTGATATGATGGGGCCTAAGTAGCTATTGTCCAAATAGGCCCTGCTTTGCAGCTGTATTTTATTCATCTGTGATCTGCACCCTGCTGTTCTGTTTCCAGTTGCCCACAAGCAGCTTTAAGAGAAGATGGGTTATTCATTTGGCTTGTAATAGCCAGCTAGAACACATCATTTTGGGGACATCATGGCAGGCACTTGAAGCAGCTAGTCACATTTAGTCAGGAGCAAGATGGTGTACCCATTTTAATAATCTAACAAAATAGGCTTAAAACCAAAACTACTTGAAAAAGATGGAGAAGGATACTACATAATAATGGAAAAACCCACCAAGGGAACACTGCAGTTCTTTCCTTCTATGCACCGAACATAAAGACACCCCGTTCTTGAAATATTACTATAGTTTATATCACATATTGCCCCTCAAACAGTGATAAAGGAGGTGGCACCAATACCCCACTCTTGACAATAGATGGGCCATCCAGACAAAAACGAAACAGAAATGTTGGTGCTAACTGACATTATAAACCAAATGGACCTAGCAGATATTTATAGAATATTACACCCAAACACAAAAGAATATACTTTCTTCTCAGCACCTCTTCAGAATTTCCCTAAAATTTACTACATACTCAAAAACAAAGTACAAGAAAATTGAAATACCTTATCTGAACACCACAGATTAAAGCTGGATATCAACAAAAATAAGAGCAAGCTTACAAACGCATGGAAATTGAAAAACTCACAAATCAATGAATAATGGACCAAGACAGAAATTAAGAAAGTCTTTCTAGAATGAAAATGAAAACACAACATACTCAAACTTATGGGACATAATGAAGGCTGTTCTGTGAAGCAGGTTCATAGCACTAAGTGCCTACATAAATTATTATTTTTTAATTATTTAATTAAAATAGAGAGACCTCATACTAGCAACTTAACATCATACCTGAAATGAAAGCTCTAGAACAAAAGGAAATCACACCCCCAAAAGAGTTGGTAGCAAGAAATAATCAAACTGAGGCTGAAACCAATAAAATACATATACATAAAATGCATATATATATTTGTTCATAAAGAATGAAACAAAAAATTGATTTTATGAGAAAAAGCAATATGATTAAAACAACCAAATAAATTGGAAGGCAGAGAGAGAGATGACCCAAATTTAAAAAATTAGAGATGAAAAAGGAGTCATACAACACACACCAAGGAAATCCAGAGAATCATAAGGACATACTTCAAAAACTTCTACTTCACCCACATTGGAAAACCTAAAAGAAATGGATAATTTTTTGACATACACTTACCAAAATTAAATCAAAATGAAATAAACAATATAAACAGACCTAAAACTGCTACCAAAATAGAAGCAGTCCTTAAAAGTCTCCCAGCCAGAAAAAACCCAGGACCAGATAGTTTTAGCTCAGAATTCTAACAGACTTTCAAAGAAGACTTAATGCCAGTATTCCTCAAATTATTACACAAAATCGAAACAGTAAGAACCTTGCCCAGTTCATTTTATAGGGCCACAGTTAGACTGATAAAGACCACATAAAGACCCAACAAAGGAAGACAATTGCAGATCATGTTTCCTTAAGAGCATAGATGCAGAAATTCTCAATAAAATACTTGCAAACTGGGGCTGGAGGGATGACTCAGTGATTAAGAGCACTGGCAGTTCTTCCAGAGGTCCTGAGTTCAATTCCCTGCAACCACATGGTGGCTCACAAACATCTGCAGTGAGATCTGGTGTCTTCTTCTGGCATAAAAAGGCTACATACAGATAAAGCACTCATACATAAAATAAATCTTAAAAAAATATTTAAAAAGTGCAAACTGAATCCAAGAACACATCAAAAAATGTTCAGCATCCTTTTCATTAGGGAAATGCAAATCAAAACTACTTTGAGATTTCATCTTAGTCAGAATGGTCAAAATCAGTAAAACAAATGACAGCTCATATTAACGAGGATATGGAGTAAGGGAACATTCATTCATTGCTGGTGGGAGTGCAAACTTGTACAGCCACTATAGAAATCACTGTAGCGGTTCCTCGGGAAGCTGGAAATCAATTAACCTCAAGGCCCAGCTATACCACTGTTGGGCATATACCCAAGGGATGCTTTATCCTACCAGAGGGCATTTACTCAATCATGCTCATTGCTCCTCTATTCATAATAGCCAGAAATTGGAAACAACCTAGCTATCTCTCAACAGATGAACAGATAAATATGGTATATTTACACAATGGAATATTATTCAGCTGTTAAAAAGAAATCATAAAAATTCACAGGTAAATGGGTGGAACTAGAAAAAAATCACTCTGAGTGAAGTAACTCAAGACTCAGAAAGATAAATATGTATGCATTCACTTATATATTAGCTGTTGAGTCCATGATAAACAAGCTACAATCCATAGAACCACAGAGATTAGGTATGGAGTAAGGGATTATAGTGGACAGATAGCTCTCCCTAGGAAAGGAAAAAAGAATAGAAAGCTATGGATGGATGGATGGATGGATGGATGGATGGATGGATGGATGGATGGACGGACGGACGGACGGGGTACTAGGACGGAGAATCAAGTGTGGAGGGGTAGGTAAGAGGGGAACAAGGGAGGAAATATAGGAGCAGACAATGAAAATTAAAGTCACTTGAGGGGTAGTATGAAAACTTAATACAGCAGAAGCTTTCTAGAATGTAAGGCCTCACAGGCCACAGTGAGGTTTAGGGACCCAGGGGCAGAAGGAGCCATGGGACCAGCAATACCTATCTGTCTCACTTTGTGCATCCTGTAGAATTTATTTCTCTTTCCTGGAGGAACAGAAGATTTTCCAACCATCTCTACAAAGATCCTGCACACAGCAGAACATAGTCACTGGGTGTCAAATAAAATCACTGCTGCAATACAGCCAGTGGGAGTGTTGGCTGGGGAGCAAGTCAGAATTCCATATCCCAAAGCAAAGCGCTGGAAAGGGAATCCCATTTCCACACTGGTGAGATGACACCTAAGAGTTTGCAAGGCTGGGTGTGAGCACACACACACACACAAAGACTGAGAGAGAGAGAGACGGAGAGAGAAGGAGAAAATGTTTAAGAGGCTAGTTTGGAGTTTAGAATGGATGCCTTCCTCATTAACAGTATTAACACAATGGGTTTTAATTTTCATTATCGTGGACTTGTGTTTTGCTAAGGTATAGTACCTACTCTCTGATTCAGACCCATCAGATCCAGATTGGCTGTTGGCGTAGCTCTGGGGCTTCACTCTGACTGTACCTCTCACAGGGGACAGAACTTCAGCAGGCTGTCCTTTGCTATAGAAGACTCATGTGTTTGGATGTGCAATTCTTTCTAAGAGAGGATTTCTCTGCACTAAACTGTAAGAGGGGAAAACCCCACAAGGTCTAAAGGTTAAGACTTAGAATTTATGTCTTAAAGGCTCTGTAAGAGCCCTCAGGGAGATGAAATACTTAGCTCACCTTTAGCAGGAGTTTAGAGATAGTGTTTGAGTGTGCTAAGTTCCCAGCAACCTCTCTGAAAACAAAAGTGGGGGCAAGGGTTAATACTTGTCTTCAATGAATTTCTAATTCACTCCACGTTATCTCTTTTGGTTTTTAATGCCGAAGCTATTTCAGCAGCATTTAAAACAGATTAGTAGAAGGGAAAATAGGCCGTGAAATATATACAGTAAACATGTTTAAAAAAAAAAAAAAAACACCAAAACCCAGGTTATCTATTTCTGTGTCTTTTAGGAGTAGTGGCCTATGTCTAGAGGATTGTTTTTGCTGAAAAATAATGAGCATTAATTATAAATAAGGTTCCTGCCTATCCCCCTCCCCCAGCTCTTTAACCAGAAACATTTGAGCATAGATTAAAGGAATGTTTCTCAACCTTCCCAATGCTGCGACCCTGTAATACAGTTCTTCATGTGATAACTCCCAACCATAAAATTATTTTTGTTGCTACTTCATAACTGTCATTTTGCTACTGTTATGAATCGTAATGTAAATACCTGATATGCAGGACATCTGATATGTGACCCCTGTGAAAGGGACGTCCAACCCCGCTCCCCACCCCGTAGGGGTCGCGACCCCCAGGTTGAGAACTGCTAGAGTCATGGCTTAGCTGAAGAAAGCCATAGCCAGAGAGAATGCACTGTTACAACAGTGTGGAGGCTGTAGCCGAGCTAAAGCACATCACCCAGGAAGAGCACTATGTGCAAAGGATAAAGAACAGCAATGCATGCTGAGGGCTTGACTCACCGGGGGTCCTGTCTCTTAGAGTGTCAAAGCCAGCTTCTCGGGAAGATGAATGGCACTTGCATACAGCAGAAGAAGCTAAGCAACTCTCCCTGGGTGGACTAAAGACCATGCCCTTGAACCCTCTTGCCTGGTTTGTGTATTCTGTGGGAGACACCATTCCCAGTGAAGCGGGACCAAACTGAATGGAATCCCAAAGCAACGCTTGCCTGAGATTTAGAGTCCCGTGAGATCAGATGTGGATCAAAAGCGTTATTTTTGCTTAATAAAGCATTCTGGGGTTTGAATCTCCCTGGACTGTCTCCAACAGGATGCTGTACTCCAGGGCTGGGATGTGGAAATTCCACGGCAGTCATCCAATCACTTGGCTCCAATTAATATAATTGAAATGGGCCTCTTGATGAAGCCCTGTTGTCTATATAATTTGAACTTTAGGGAATGGGAGTGTTGCTCAAAGTCAGTATTCTGGCCTGACACGTGCAAGGTCCTGTGCTCAATCTCCATGTCTGGCCAAAAAAATAAAATAAAATAAAATTTAGATGCCTAAGGAAAGCAGAGCAGGGAATGGGTGGGGTTTCTGCCCCATAAAATTAGCTGAGTGTATTAATCATAAGGCAGAAGGTTGAATCTAACTGCGGGTTTTAGTAATCGGAACCATCTGCCTCTACGCTAAGAGTTCACCCTCTAATCCAGCTTACGGCTAGCAAAAGCCCTCTCTCTACCACTGTGCCCTTGGACAGAGGAGGCTGCACAAATCCTGCGCTCCCAAATGTGAGGCTGTGGTTGAGAACATTTGGAGGGTTTGCTTTGGTCTGCTTTGTTTACTGTCAGGCTTTGACTGGGTTTCAGTTCTCTCGGGCAGAGACACCATGGCTTTCTTTGTGAAAAGCATGATAAGTAACCAGGTAAAGAATTTAGGATTTGGAGGTGGGTCTGAAGAAAAGAAAGAAGAAGGAGGGACCTCGGACCCTGCAGCAGCTCAAGGGATGTCTAGAGAGGAGTATGAGGAGTACCAGAAGCAGATGATTGAAGAGAAGTGAGTACCGGGACTTCGATCCCCTGTAGAACAGCTCCACCGGGGCCCAGGCTGGTGGATCTTGGCTTCCAAGGATGCTTTCCCTTTGATCTTTACCCCTAGCCCGCAGAACAATTGGTTCTGCTTAAGGAGACCCCTGCAGCATCGCTGCTGCTGCGTGCTACTGATAGAGAGGGACGTGAGCAATGCTAAGTGAGTCCGTTCACCATGCTTAACGCAGCTTAGCACTTCCTGGTTTAGGCACGTTTGTAATTGGCCTTGATTTAATTGGTCAAGTAAAAAAAAAAAAAAGCAGTGAGTGTGGCTTTTTAATCTTTCAGATTAAAGGCTCTGGGTTGCACAGGTGTGGGCATCACTAAATGGTACACTTGAAAGTTTGGGAAACTGAGTTGCATGCAGTATTTTCTTCAAAAGAGTATAAATAAGCACGTAACTCAGGATAATAATATGCACGCTGAAGTGTTCTGGGGAGGTGTTCTGATGTTTGCATCTGTAAATATATCAAAAAGTAAGAAGAAGAAATGGATAGAACGGTAGGTAAGTGTTTCGAAACATGGGATTCGAAATGGAGAAGTGAGGTCATCGAAACGTGGCTTCCAATCTAAGGTTCTTTCAGGTTTCCTGTCTGTTTGAAAGTTCTCCTAATAAAACGTTGAGTGGGAAGGATCTGCTTCTTACCCACACGGCGGGGCATTAACCCCTGGGATAAATCACTGTTTCCTAATTCTCTAAAACTTAGAAGGTTGAACAGAATGTTGTCGCAAGACTATTACAGAACGTTCTAGAGGTAGAACTGAGGCAAGACCACTTGAGTCCCAGGCACATTTAGTCTGAGTGTTTGCTTCAGATGTAGCTTGTCTTTAAAGTCAGCCTTTTGCGTAATGCTTGGAATTACTTCACATCTTCAAGTTAAAAAAAAAAAAGGCAATTTTCACCTACAAGAATGAAAACAGGGTTTATTTTCCTGCAAATAGTGCTTTGTGCAAAGATGCCCCACAGAGTCTATAAGCAGAACACTTACCAGGCCTGCCTTTGGCACACAGCGAGACCCAAATGGCTGCTGACTGGGGCCACAAGCACTCTTCCCATCCCCTGCCATTGTCCTGTTCCCATGGTGCTGCTTTTCTGTCTCCTTACTTGAAGACTAAGAGCACAGGGCAGTGGAAAGGGCCAGCCAATTGCTTTCAAGTTCCCTTGTTATTCTCCAAACCATGATCCAAGTCTCGGTCCTTCTCAGTCTCAATCCCAGCTTCCCAAAGAAACTTCTTTTATCCAACTTGGTCCATTTCAATACAGCCAGTTGACCATGCCTTTGGGCAAATTCAGCATTAATCATGCACTTCTCGGGGTAACCAGGGAAGGAAGCAATTAGTGTGAGCTTTGCAGGCGTTCCCCAAAGCTTTATGCTTTTGTATAGGTCATCATGACCCAGGAAATCCATTTCGAATTGGCCTAATCATGGGTCCAATTAGGTCAGTGGTTCTCAACCTTCCTAATGCTGTGATCCTTTAATACAGTTCCTCATGGCGATCCCCACCCATAAAAGTATTTTCATTGCTGCTTCATAACTGTAATACTGCTACTGTTATGAATCAAAATGTAAATGTCTGATATGCAGGATGTCTGATATGTAACACTGTTGGGAGCTGTGAACCCCCAGATCCTGAATTTCTTGTAAACAACGTGTTATGCTTGCAGCTGCTCTGAGCACGAGACCCTCAGGAGTTCCTGACGGCAGGGGAGTGGTTTCTGGTGGGTTTGGCTGGGGCGTGGCTATCAGTTAAGGATCCCTATATAAGCTGCCCCTGGATACAATAAAAGGAGCATATCCTTGGGACATTCCTGTTTCAAGGATGACTCGTGCCTCTGTCTGTGTGTCTTTGTGTGTTTAAATCTCCAGGCCCTTGCCCAGCTCGGGAATGGTCCTGTAGTGCAGGCGCCGCAGTACAGGAGTAGTACCGCACTGTCGGGACCCACAGGATGAGAACCTCTGAATTAGGTCGGTCCATTGAGCAGGCGCCCAGACTGGCGTGATGCGAATCAAGGCTGCTTCATTTGTAGATAGCGCTTCCTACTAGGGAAGCTAACACTGCCTGAACACTGTCACCGGGGCCTGGCATCCGTGACAATGACGGGAAACAACCCGGCGTCACGTCTCCAAACAGCACAGGCACCTCCAAAGAATGTCTCAGTCCCACAATAGGACACCTTGCTTTGTTGTTGTTTGGTTGATTGGTTGATGATTTTTGTTTGTTTGTTTGTTTGTTTTGCTTCTCTAAGTGCCCAGGGAGAGGTTTATTAGAAACGCAGCCTCCCCATTCTGAGGCAGCAGAGGAGGAGCACGTGAAGAATCTGCCGTCCCTGGGGGAGGGATGCTGAGGCTTAGGGTCCAGGACCATGCGGCCTATCTACAGCCATCCTTCTGATGCTCTTTGTCTGCTTCATGAAGACAGTCCCAGGCCCTGGGTACCTGAGGACCTAGAGGTCTGGAGTGCTGGAGTGCCGTGATGATAGCAAGAGAGAATCAGATACTGGGGACTTGGAGGGGGAAGTCTACATTTTTCCAAATGTCAGTGGTCAGTGGCAATCAAACATGACCCAAGGTCCTGCTCCCTGAGTAGCAGCTGGAAGGTATGGGGCTCTCTATCTCCTATGACCCTGTCTCCTATTCTTTACCTGTCTTTTAGGATGGAGAGAGATGCTGCATTTACTCAGAAAAAGGCAGAGAGGGCATGCCTCCGAGTCCACCTCAGGGACAAATACAGGCTCCCAAAGGTAAGAAAGGGTGTCATTGTGCTTTAATAAAAAGTAGAGAATGTTTGATTATCAGCAAGATCTCGTTGATGAATAAGCGTATGTCCTAATTTACATACGTGCTATTGTAAAAAGAGCATTGAACTAGGAGTTCACGTAAATAACCTAATTTCTATAAATTTCCTGTTTGGCTCAAAAAGCATGACTACTGATAAGTGAGGATCGTGTATGTGTGTATGTGTGTGGGGGAGACTCATGTGTGTGCATTTGTGTGTATGAATATGGGCATGCACATGAGATGGCTCAAATGTGGCCAGAAGACAGCATTGGAACTGGTCCTTATTTGAGGCAGGGTCTCCTTGTTGTTATAGAACTCTTATACATCCGTACGCAATGAGGACAATGTCATAGCTGACATTTGTTAAGTTCTTCTAGGTGTTGGGCAGTGTATTTCACACGTATCAATTCATTACCCCTATCTTATAGCAGAAGATACAGGCACAAGGCAAAGAAAAGTCTTCATACCCTTAGTCAGGGTCTTACTCCCTTAGCCTCCTGCCTCTCTTGAAAAAGGACAACAGTCTCTCACTTTGGAAGATGATAGAGTAGTGGGGATTCTCACTTGGCATCATCTGCTCCATCTCAAACCTTTTGAGCAGTCGCTGTGGTCCAGTGTGTCCCTGGCTAGTGGAGAGAGGATGTATTGACATGCTATGGCACTTGGCTCAGATATATCAATCCAGGATTTGTTTTCAAGTGGCAGAGGGCCCAGCGCTTGGCTATTCCCACCCATCTCTTGTGTTCCCACCCAGCCTTAGTACTTCCTGAGGCACTACCCAGTTCAGTTAACTGCCCTGCCTTCACCCCATGCAGGGGGTATTCAAGATGACATTCCGAAAGTGCATTGTCTATTACAGACTGCCATAGGTGCAGAACAACCAACATAAAAGTCCTCCTAAGTTCATCCAAAGATGAGCCACGACCACGTCTGCATGAGTCAAAAAGTACAAAAAGAATCTTTCCTTCAATGGGTCCCCTGGAGGTCCCCGGAAAAGCTAGTTCCAGAGAAAGCATGAGCACTAGTCAAAGCAAAGCCCACTGACGAGGCAAGGTCAAAACTGCTCAGGCCAGCAGATTAGAGTCCATCCCATGGCAGATCCCCAAGATGCCCACAGAACAAAGCTGTGCTCCCAGCAAGAGAAGAAAATGCCAATGAAATTGAAATTCGTTTTCCCAGATATCTAGTGAGTCAGAACGAATGTCCCTGCTTCATTCAGCTCTACTTTCCTACACTGTACCTCCAGTGCACATTGCTTGGATATATCCTCTTTGCTTGACTATTTCAGTTTCCAGTCTGTGCACATGTATGTGTGCATATGTGCCGTGGGTCTTTGTGTATGCATATGTGCCGTGGGTCTGTGTGTATGCATATGCGCCGCAGGTCTTTGTGTATGCATATGTGCCGCGGGTCTGTGTGGAGATCTGAAGATAACCTCTCTTGCTGCTCGTCACCTCCACCTGTTTGAAACAGTGTCTCACTTATCTCCACAGATGCCAGGCTAGCTAGCTTGTGGGCATGTAGAAAGTGTCCTGTGTCCACCTCCCAGCTCACCACAGGAGTACTGGCTGCATGGCATATACACCTGCATCCAGCTTTCCATGGGCTCTGGGGATCTGAACTCACATCCTCACACTGGTGTGGCAAGTGCTTTAGCCATTGAGCCATTTCTCCCAGTGAGCTCCTGATTGTTTTCATGAGTCCTGCAAAGGAGGCCTGGAAGGTCATCTAACTGCAGGCTGTCACCTCCCTAAACACCCAAGGAAAAAATACTTTCATAGTTTGGAAGAGTTAAGGGAGCTCAGGAAAACCAATTCTGAGTATGCCTAGTGAGTTACAAAACAGGTTGTGTCCCAGGCTTCCTGACCACAAGCAAGAATGAAACACGAAAGGATTTGAACTCAGGTCCCTGTACCTATGGTATCGGCGCCTGTTCTTCCAGTCCCTAAACAACTGAGGGCAATTTTTGAACTCTGTCTTAAAACAGCACTAAAACATTCAGGTAACCTGCACGGCCCTACTACCTGACTCTTTGGGGACAAGTCACTGAGTCCCACTCCCATGAGCACCAGAGGTTCCTCTGCCTTCATAAGTTCTGATGGTTTGCAAACGCCTCCCTGGCTGCCTCAGCTCCAAATACACAGATGAGAATTTCACTCAAGTACACCCACTGCTCATTGGCAAGCTGCCTTCTGCTCCCTGTGGTGTTTTTAGATTATGGTTCTGTTTTGTAGAATTGATTCTATACCGTGTTTTAAGAAATTCCCAATGGTGTGAGAAACACTGAAATCGCTGCTTGTGATAGATAGGATTGCCTACTTTTTGTAAAGTATGTAGAATTGGGATCCAGCATGGCTCTCTGTGAAAACAGGACTTAAAACTGCAATTTAAAAAAAAAAAATCAATCAGGTCATATTCTACTTAGTCTATGTAGCACCAGATGTAACCGATTTCCCCAACCTCAAAGCGTGGCACATTGGGTAAGCCGTTTAGCCACACTCTTGGGGGCCTCCTCTGCCTCCTGAGTTACATGTTCCCTTTCCCACTCACTGATGAGGTTCAGGGAGCAAAAGTTACAAGAGCCCGAGAGGGTCAAATGCAGCTCTGGAGAGAGAGAGGCTGAGATCAGCACTGGAACAATGGATTGCTCTCTCCAAGTATGGCAGCTCTGGATAGCGCCACCTACAGGCTTGACCACGGAGCTCACCCCAGAGTGTGGTTGCATAGACGATCCCTATGCCAGGTGCCCCCTAGTGGTAGTCATCTGAAGGGCTCTCCCTGTTTTATAAGCAGAGCCCTGACCTGGGTGGTAGCAGCCTTAGGACTCTGCAAAACAACTGTCGAGGATGAGAGTGTGCGTTTTAAATCCTCCTGTGGCCTACTGGGGGAGAGTCCTAGCAACAACTCCATTTTAACAGCTAGGGTGGTAAGATTCTGCAGTGCCTTTAAATGGGGGTGAACTGACAGACTGGAATATTCAACTGCAAGAAAAAATGGGGGAATGAGGTAGGGGCGCTACAAAGCCCACCCTTTTGTTCCAACATCGTCTCCAGTCAAGTTGTCCCAGTGGCCACCCTGCTGGGCTTGACACACTACAGGCAAATCCTTGTAGTTTTCCTTGGACTGTGTCTCAAGGCCCTTTTCACTGGCATCTTTGGTGCATTCTCAGAATACCAATGTCAGCATCTGAGCTGGAGATGTGTAGACACTGCACCAAAAAGCCAGAGACCCCCAGCTGCCAACAAGTGTCACTCCCTTGTCACTTGCCCTCCAGTCACTGGCTGTCTGATAGGGAGCTCCCAAGGCCCCTAGGAACCTAGTCACTGCATGCTTCCTATGCAAGACCATCTGAGGAACAAGCCATCATGGACAGCCCCCAACAATCACTATTCTCTTCCTAGAATAGATCTGGGTTCCAGGATGGCCAACTGGCTTCAGCTCCTTGGCACCCGCACCTGAGAGCTTTTTACTTTTTTACATATTTATTTTTGACTTCCAGGGAAGCACTGCCATGCCATGCGTGCACACTCAATACACAATCCTGAAGGACACGTAAATGGAGATGTTTATGAGAGATTGCAAAGCCTACTGGGACAACCATTCTTCATTCGGTGCTCCTCCATGCCCCCATCTCCTCATGCGCTCTCTAAACTGTCTCCTCCACAGTCATTTGTAGCGCGTGCAGCCCTGTGTCATCTGATGACATCTACGCAAGGTCACCAGGCAGAGCCGAGTGTTAGCAGCCCATAGGGAACTGGATGAATTCGACAGGTCCCAGGCTCTCTGCTCTCAATACCTTAGGGTCACCAACACCGCAGTTACATAACTGCAGGAGTCAGTTTAGACTTGTTCCCTTGACCAAAACCAAACAAGGAACAAATCTGAGAAAAATGCCTTCCTGGGAGCTGTCAGGTTTAATGAGGGCGGCTGTGTAGCGTTTAGGAATTAGAACTGTGCTTTCTAAAGAGGTTACTTGCCTGGTGTTTCTTAGGAAAGAGGGTTTCACTCTGTTACTGGCTGGGAAAAACAATAGTGACTCTTAAAACTGGAGCGGCATAGGCTTTTGGATGGCCATTGTTAATTGCAGTGGTTACATAAATAATAAATGCGATAACCACGTTGCAGCTCTCGAAGGGATGCATGCTGCAGTTCTTGATGTGTATGTACATCTATACCAGTTGTCATGAGGCTCATCGTTGCACACACCGCCTGTTGGGTTCCTCTGGTTTTTGGCTAGAGACCACTGGAGCATTTACGATGGCGTATTGTCATCCATGCTCGTGTTAGGTGAGATCCCCTGTACCACTTAGTTATCCCTTGCTCGGCACCTTTAGTGTCTCTTTCTCTATGGACTCCCTGGGGGAAATGCCTCCATCCCATCTAAAACAGGCAGGCAGCACTTTTCACCTGAACATGCCTTCCCTGGCTTGGTTCCTGCCTGCAGGCTCCATCTTCCTTTAACTCGGTGGTTCTCAAATTTCCTAATGCTGTGACCCTTTAATATGCAGAGAGATAGAGAAAGAGAGAGCGAGAGAATATACTACTACTGATTGAATGATTGTGATTGGGCTAACAGAAAAAGAAAAGAAAATAATACCCCATCCCCAAAGAACAATATATTAGAAACATCAGAAAGAACCTGCCATAAGAAGTATATAAATACATTTTCATGCAAAGAATAGGACTGGATTGGGCACCACAGTGCTGTACACAACAAAGGGCTACTTTATATTATAATTAAAATGTCGTATTTTTCTAATTCAGTAAGTCACATGTTTTACATAAAGCTACAAGAGTCTTTCTGAAAGTAAGTGAACCCTGTCCCCAGTCGACTCAGATTGTATATGTAAGTCAGGGCAAATTAATAAGAGAAAAGAGTTCCACAGTGTGCCCCAATCCTATTAACAGAATTGTCAATCTGGGTCAGTCACTGGAGAGCATGCTGTCCCCCTGCTGAGCTGGG